AAAAAAAAAAAAAAAAGGGAAGGAAGGAAGGAAGGAAGGAAGGAAGGAAGGAAGGAAGGAAGGAAGGAAGGAAGGAAATCCCACTCAGATGAACAAACAAGTAACATCTCATGAACTCCATGGTTAGCAGCCCAAAGGTGACAAATGGTCTAGCAGAGCCCATATGGCCAACTGGACTGCCCAGCAGAAGATGCCACATACAGAGCAAGGGCTCTGGACAGCAGCTACATGGTAAGAGCTTTTCCTACAGTGTCCTGCAGGGTCAATAGACTTTCTGTTGCTGATAGATATGAACCTGGAGGTAGAAAGAGTTTCTACTCCATCCTGTGTACACTTGTCACCTAGTACTGAGGCACTCACTGAGCAATCTCCTAGCACCAGAGCCCAACATACCATGACTAGCTCAGTAACACAGAGTCCTTCATTACATGTGACTAGGAAAAGCTAAAGCTATACAGTTACAGAAACTCCCAAAAAAGTGAAACTACTTTAGCTTCAATCTTTACTTCCAGTGGCATATTGAAATGGCTTCACAGAAACCAGGTTTTATAGGTGACTGGAGAGACAGCTCACTGGTTTAGAGTACTTGCTGCTCTTCCAGAGGAACCATGTTCAGTTCCCAGCACCCATATGGCAGCTCACAACTGTAACTCCAGTTCCAGTGCATCCAACACAGATATTCATACAGGCAAAATACCAATGCACAGAAAATACAAAATAATTTATTAAAAGAAACCAGGTTTTATCTAATTTTAAAATGCTATTATCAGCTCATCAAAATAAGAGGACACTGTAAGAAAAGTGTCTGTAAAATTACTGAGTACAACATAAAATCAAATTAGCTGGGCCTGTTGGTACAGAACTATAGCTTCAGCTACTTGGGAGGCTGAGGTATGGCACTAATGAGTTGTGGCCTATTTAAGCAAGGTGGGTCAGCGAAAGGTGCTTGCTACAGAAATCTGATGCATCCTTGGGACTTGTACGGTAGAATTTTCTGACCTACACACACACACACACACACACACACACACACACACACACACGCAGTGGCATGTACACAAACACACAAATAAATGTAATAATAATAATAATAATAATAATAATAATAATAATAATAATAATAATAATAATAATAATAATAGGACTCCATGGGGCTGGAGAGATGGCTCAGAAGTTAAGAGAACTGACTGCTTTCCCAGAGATCCCGAGTTCATTCCCAACAACCACATGGTGGCTCACAACCATCCCTTATGAGATCTGGTGCCCTCTTCTGGTGTGCAGATATACATGGAAGGTGAAGAAAGAGAAAGTAATAAACATAAAAAAAAAACAATAGTAAAAAAAAAAAACCACGGCGGGGGGGGGGGGGCTCCATAGTACACAACTTGCCACAAGGCAATGAATTCAATCAATCTGCAGTACCAGTGTATGTGTGATGTGTGTGGAAGGGACTAGGGATGGGGGGGGGTCCCAGCATCTCTCTCTCTCTTCTCTCTCTCTCTCTCTCTCACACACACACACACACAATATAATTTGTAATAAATTATTTTGTAATTTTAAAAAAATCACAATTTAGCCAGAAGGTGGTAGTACACGCCTTTAATCCCAACACTTGGGAGGCAGAGGCAGGTGGATCTTTGTGAGTTAAAAACCAGCCTGGTCTACAAGAGCTAGTTCTAGGACCAGCTTCCAAAGCCACAGAGAAACCCTGTCTCGAACCCCCTCACCCACCCACCCCCAAAAAAATCACAATTTATTGCTTTTGGCAAGAATCCGCTTCTGGGTATGCTGCTTCAGGCCAGGGAACCCAACATATGAGACAGTAAGAGATGAAGAGGTGTCAACAGCCCACTGACACTACCGGGCCAGTCTTTTCCACCCAACTCTCTGACTTGAGCACCTGGCAAAGCTCCAGAAAACAGAATTCACTCATCATCAACAAGACTTCTGTGTTTGTTGGTCCCTGCTGACATGCAAGAGAAAGCACCCAACACCGGAGTGCCTGGCAGGAAATGCAATTTTCCTCAGTCAGGGTTTGAATGAGAATAACAGACCCCATAAGATCATATATTTGAATGCTTGGTCCCCAGTTGGTAGAACTGTTTGTTAGAATGTGTGGCCTTGGAAGAGGAGGTGAGTCACTCACTGGGGATAGGTTTTCAGGTTCAAAAGCCCAGGCCATTCCTAGTTAGCTCTCCCTCTCTCTGCCTTATGCTTGAGGATCAATTTAGCCCTCAGCTAATTCTCCAATGCCATGATAATGGACTTTAACCCTCTGGAACCATGAGCCATAAATTAAATGCTTTCTTTTACAAGTTACTCTTTTAAAATATATATATATATATGGAATGCTTCATGAATTTGCGTGTCATCCTTGTGCAGGGGCATGCTAATCTCTGTATCTACCAATTTTAGTATATGTGCTGCTGAAGCGACCTACAAGTTACTCTTTACAGCAACAGAAAAGTAAGACAGAGCTGGTACCACGAGTAGGGTATTTCTGTAACAGGCCTGACTATGCTGTTTGCAGGACTTTGGAATAGAAAAGGGGCTGGACACTCTACACAGTGCTTAATTTAATGGCCACCCTAACAGAAACTTGGAAGACAGTAGTCCTGAAGGGAATGTAGACTATGGAGGCCCAGTTCAAGAGGTTTCAGAGGAAAACAACATTAGCAACCGGACTTAAAACCATTCCTGTGACATTTTGGCAAAGAATGTGACTGTTTCTGTCCTTGTCCTAGGAATCAGTCTGAAACTAAATTAAAATATGGGGCTAAGTTTTGGGGCAGAGATCTCACCTAATAATGACTTTGTTACATAGTTTTTAATATTCACTATTATGTGTGTCTAAATGCAAAAGAGCATGTGGGATAAAAAGAATAGAGTTTGAGGAGAACAAGGACACCACAAAACTTAATTCTAGAGCCAAGGCTTGTGCTGAAAGAGATAAGGAGAAATGAAATAAAGGGAGCAGTATCCTTAGGATGAGATTCTACCCAGCTAATCCTGCAATGGGGGGGAGGGGAGAGCGCACACTAAGGAATTACCTGTTCCTAAAGATTAGCAACAAACCAAAGATTATGCCCATGTAATTCAAGCAAGGCCAGGTTCCATCCCAAGCTGGCAATTAAATTTAGTTCTTCTGCCTGTTGGTTCTGAGTTTAGTCTTGAAGGATACAAAAGGAAAAGAACCCTGGGTTCTTCCTCTTCCAATAAAGAAAGCCACTGAGATCAAGTGTGTGGCACAGAAGAATCCCTGCATGGGGAGGTCCAGAAAAGCCACTGTGCAAAACTGTGAAAGTGAAGCCTGGATTGTGCTAGTTGCCCAAGTCATGGGATGTCTAACAAGGAGAGCTACATATACAGAATGCAACCAGTCCATGACAGAGATGTGTTTTACAGTTAGCAGGGCAGGGCAATCTAAGCCCTTTGACATTGCACACAGAGCTACATGATTTGAAGTTTGCCCTGGTGAATTTAAGTCTTGCTTTGGACCAGTATTTCCTCACTATGCCCCCTTTCCTCCCTGGGAGGAAATGTTAATGCATATTTTATGCTATTACATGTTAGGAGTATATGATTTTTAATTTTGATTTTATGGGAGGTTAAAATTAAGAGACTGCCATGAGTCTCAGAAGAAACTGGACTTTTAAATTGAGATTGTGAGACTATGGAGACTTTTGAAATCAGACTAAAGTACTTTGCATTATGATATGGCCACAAGCCTATAGGGACCCAGGGAGTAGAATGTAGTGGTTTAAATGAGAATGTCCCTCATAGGATGATATATTTGAGTGCATGGTCCCCAGTTGATGAAAGTGTCTGGAAAGGATTAGGAGGTATGACTTCATTGGAGGTATGTCACTAGGGGTGGGTTTTAAGGTTTCAAAAGCCCAGGCCATTCCCAGTTAAAGTTCGCTCTCCTGCTTGCTGGCTCTCTCCTCTCCCTACCACCCACAAGCTTATGAATCAAATGTAGGCTCTCAGCTAATACTAGCATCATGGCTGCCTGCTGTCATGTTCCCTGCTGTGATGGTGATGGATCCTAACCCCTTAAAACAATGAGCCATAAATTCAATGCTTTCTTTTGTAAGTTGCCTTTGTCATGGTGTCTCTTCACAGCAACAGAAAAGTAACTGAGACACTTATCTAGGTGTGACAGGATAACAGAGAATAATAACCAGGCTTTAATCCAGGACCAAAACAAAAGCACAAACCTATTTCTAACAGAAAGCAAATGTTGAAAATCTGATGTTGGTACCAAAAGACCTAATGACAGTCATTGCTCGAGAACTTTAACACCATCCTTCCACACTGTTTTAGCTGAGAGCTAGATAGGAGGCTGTGACAAAGTCAAACCAGCACAGGGAATTTTCATGGAGTTGTTATAGGTATAGGCAAACATGGCAACATCATTTCTTGGGGAATCACATCTTATCTTAGTAGTGGGGCCTAAGTGATGGTTCAGTGGGTGAATTCGCTTACCGTTAAGCCTGATGACCTGAGTTCAATCCCACATAGTGAAAGCAAATAAACAACTCCCCCAGTTTTCTCTAGATTTATTTCACCCCCCAGATGTGTGTACATTGTGGCATGCCCCAACCCAACCAAATACGGGAATACACTAATTCAGTATTTTTTTTTTTTTAAGGACTGTCTCCATTAAAAGGGAAAAAGCTTAAAAGTAAATGAGAAATATTTTTTAAACATGTTAAGTCTTTTTTTTTTAAAAAATTTTATTTATTTATTTATTTATTTATTTATTATGTATACAGCTGTGTGCCTGCATGCCAACAGAGGGCACTAGATCTCATTCAAGGTGGTTGTGAGTCACCATGTGGTTGCCGGGAATTGAACTCAGGACCTCTGGAAGAACAGTCACTGCTCTTAACCGCTGAGCCATCTCTCCAGCCCAATGAGAAATATTTTTTGAGTGTGATTATATGAGGCATTAACAATACAATGCACATGTACTAACAAGTTACAAAAAAATTGGGGAAACATTAAAATATTCCTTAAGCCAATTATGCAAAGTCTTACAAGTAATGAAATGACAGATTATTTTCAGAGTGCCCAAAGGACAAGCAGTCTTCAGGAAGGAATGGTTCAGGCTCAAAACTAGGGCCCTGGGTTTGTGGGAACTGACCTCAGGAGATACACACATCCTGGGGCTACTTGGTGCCAGGTGTGGCCATTGGCAGATCACAGCCTACACACATACATGCATGCATACAATATTAAAAGTAATCAATCAAACCACACTCAAAGCTGCACTTGATGTGTGAAAAAACACAGGGACAGGAGAAAGGGGACAAAAAAGGGCAGGGCCAGCCATACCCAGTGGCCAAGGCACTAAATGGCCAATGCCTGAAAACAGCTCACAGCTTTTGAATGAAAACCCATGTTGTCTGTTTTCATCTCTAGAAATGAGAATGCTGCAAAAACAAAAGCTCAGTACCATGATTTCATATTAACAGATCCCTGGAGAGGCAGCAGCCCCCTGACATTTACCTGTATCTAGGCGCTTTCCCGGGGACTCCTCCTCCACTTCGGAGTCTCCACATGTGCTCCTCGACCTTTTCCGTGGCTGCAGTAGAGTCTCCAACCTCGGAAGGACTACAGACAAAAAGGTTTTGGTCCCTAGCTGAGGAGAAGTTGGCTGGGTTTCAGTGTTCTTGGCAGACTTTGGGGGGCTTACACTTTTCGATTTGCAGAAGAGAACAGAGGTGCGTCTGTTTACATCGCTTGATGGCTCCGCCACTGCGGAGGCCGCCGCCGCCGGCACATCGCCACTACTGGCGAGGGTGGGCTCTGGAGGGTGTCCGCTTACCAGTGCGCTCTGAGTGCAAGTGCTATGTGATTCATTATCAAATGTGACTCTTTTGAATAGTTTACTCTGCTCGGGGTTGAGTTCTACTGGTTTGAGGGTTGGTGGTTCTGAATTAGTCTCCGAGTTTGAAGGAAGAGGTAATGCATCTGATGGTTCAAGTTTAGGGGGAGATTTATCTCCTGAAAAAATTATAAATAAAGTGATTTTGAAAACTGAAGATTATAAAATCTATTATAAAACTTATATAAATGTGAAGTCCACCAAAACACTAATTCAATTAAGGAAACAGCATCACACACAATGGTTTGCTGAGCAGTGAGCAGCCTGGGGTCATCAGGTAACACTGTGTGTGCTTCCCTAACCAAAGATTGTGGGCCTGGTGTGCTAAGTCCAGGTGCACAAGTTACTTTCTGGAAAGAACTGTGAGAGCATTTCACACACAGCAATATTTAAACTCTTATCTGAGTTCAGGACAATGTCTGCATCTATATTCACTTACCTTGAGGAAGATTAGACAGTCATAGAACTAAGGGAGCCTTAAAAGGTTCTCACAGCATTTTATGCTGCACCATAAGGTGGCAAACAGAAAGATAACAAATATTAAATTGTCTGACCAGGGCTTTCTAAGTCAAAGCCCAACACACTGATTGGCTGGGGAGGACTCTTATGGAGGGAGACAGGATCACCCTCCTTTCCCTTAGAATACACAGACCTGTGAGTACTACCAGTGAGTCCCCCCAACTCTACCTTCATAGCTATAAAAACAATTATTTCAACCTATTTAGAAAGGAGTTTACAAATTACCAGCATGGAAGTGAAGAGCTAGCTCAGTGGTTAAGAGCACTTGGTGCTCCTGCAAGAGACCCAAGTTCAGTTCCCAGCATCCACATGGCAACCAACAACTGTCTGTAACGCCAGTCCAAGGAACCCGACACCCTCTTCTGGCCTTTGGTGCACCAGGCATGAATTTGGTGCACTTACATACAGATAAAACACTTATACACATAAAATAAAAATATAACTTAAGAAAAATGTACCAGCATGAACCAATATGGACCTGACATCTTAATCTCAAATTCAATCTTAAATTTTGTGTGTCGTCTCATACAAAAAAGGTCAAGGAACAAAACAGCAGAGAAGCCAACAGTGTAAGGTTAGGCCCTGCTGGGCTAAAATGATAAGGGTTCTTTCTGAACAGACTGATTCTGAGAGTGTCACTATAGGACAAAGGATAGAAAACCAAGAGTATCAATTTAAACAATCCAAAGTAGCACACATAATTAGTAGGTATAGTTTTTATTTTATTCTAACTACAAACTTCCCACAAAACATTTGCAGTATGCCACAATACTTTAAATTTAAGTCACCTTTGAAAATGAAAAGCTATATAATTTACAAGCTCCACTTATATCTCTGGGTCACTTGATTAAGTGGGAACAAAAGTTAAAAGCCTCTAAAGAAGTACTACTAAGGACCTCCAATCAGCAACACAATGCTGAAAGTGACACCAGATAGGATTGCAAGTGAGGTGGCTTTGGGCTAACAGTGTGCATGTGAAGGAGCCTGGTAAAGGCAACTCCACCCCAAGCAGGGAAAGCGTAACCTCAACAAAATGCCCGTTGCTTAAGAGGTCTTTTGTTGAAAAGCTTTATCCAGGAGATAAGAGTGCAGAAAAACTCATGCCACGGAGGCCAAGAAATCTGTATTAGAAAATTAAAACTCCAATGAAGTGGAAATGCTGAATCTTGAATCACTGGCATGTTGAATGATGACACAATTTTTCGTGCCCACTTTGCTTAGGTTCATGAACCACTTTTGAAGCACAGTATTTGCACAGCACATAGGAACATGGAGAAGATGGAATTAGAAACCATGCAGAACTATACATGGCACTCTTGGCACACATAAGCATGAAAACAGAAGTCACTGGCACTGGGTGGTATGTAGGCTGGTACAGGCGCAGGTGGCAGGTAACCACTACCTTTCAGTGGATAATTTGCCTCCTGCCTCATCTTCCTTCACTAGTCTCTGCCTCCTACCTTAAGTCCAAGCATCTTACACTGACTGAGATTTCCTATGTCCAATCCAGTCCTATGGTCTTTTCAGGGCAGAGGCTAATGGGCAGCCCCAAAGCAGTACCAGGACCAGGTATTGCAGCTCTCCCATCCATTCTCTCCACAGCTAAGAGGTACCAAAGACCCACTTTCTGCCTCCAGCTTAACTTTCAGAGTCAGTCACTACTGCCCTTGCACAAAAGGCCTCCACCACATTCCATTGTCCCCAAATCAATGTCTAAATCAAAAGCTGCCTGCCCATGAAGGACTGCATGGCCAGGCACACTGATCTGTGGTCCCCTCCACATTCAAGCCATGTGTTCTCCCTGCTCTGTGGCAACCCCTGAGAAGGAGCCCAACTTCCCAACACTGCCACATAGCTCACTGGCATACTCCTGGGGTGTTACAAAAAGAATCTCACTGGATACAGGAGGCTACACAGAGGCCCAAGTGAAACACGTTTCCAGTAGCCATGGGGCCACTAAAATTCTGTGATCCTCAGTCTCCTCAGCATGGTGAGAACTAGCAACACCTGAGGCTGTCAAGTTCCTTGATGAGTGAACCCTCATACCAGCATACTGGACACTATCTGCACCACAGCTAATCTTCCCACTGGTTACTCAGGCAGAAATCTTAATGGCAGTTAACATACAAATGCAAAAAGTTTCATTTTCAAAACTTCACTGTCTGCTAACAAATGGACATTGCTTAACTACATGTCCCATTAACTTCCAGAATCAGCACCTCACAACTCTAACATGAGTATGAATGTCAGCACTCAAAAATATCCCTAGCCAGAATTTACAATACACAGCATCAAGCAAAAGCTGCTCATCTTTTTTCACATGCTGATCACACAGACATCTACCCAGGACCAGCTATTCCCTATGTAACTGTGATCCTCTACATACAAGGCCACCAAGCCAATTGAATGCTTCCACCAAACACAGACAACACTAGATACCACATCAGAATGTGTGGAGACATTCCAACAAATGGCTAGAAACTGCACCATCCCCACTAGCAACCTACCTCCTGCTCCGTTCCTCTGCCAGCCCTGAGGGAGCAGAGTTTACACTGTGGTCAATGCTGAGTTAAACATGGGGTGCATAGAGCAGAAACAGCACATAGCTAGCTGTTGTGTGAAGTGATGCCCCACTGAGGGTGCTGATCTGGTCCAGAGTCTTCAACAAGAGAGAGATATACCCCACAACTTAGCCATAGGCAAGGTGTAAGCCCCATTCACCAACACATACACTCTGGTCTTCCCAAAGCCCCTAGTCAATCCACTAAATCCCAATAAATGTAAAGGTCTATAAACTCAAGCTTGTCCCACAGGCTTATCATGACCCCATTCCATGTGCCACTTAGCATTCAACTGGCTAGAACCCTTCAACCTTAAGGTCAACATGGAAGGCCCCCTGACAAACACCCTGCCCCTTACAGAGCACATTCACTGCCCAAGCTAGCCAGGACCTATTTCCTTCCTCAGATGTTGGCCTTTTGGGCCTGGCTCCCAACAGCTATACTGCTGGTGTTTCCTCTAATGTGAACAACCTAAATGTCATAAAACACAAAAGTGTTAATTTAATTACAATTTAAGAGAAACTGTTTATTTTACACTAAGGATTGCTTTTGTAAGTGTGAAAAATCTATGGTCATTCTAAAAATAGCAGATTTTTTTTTTTTTTTAATTGGTTACAAGGTCTCAGGGCCCTAGCTGGTCTGGAACTCAATATGTAAACCAAATTGGTCTCTAAACGCATAGATTTTCCTGCCCCTGTCGCTTGAGGACTAGAAATAAAAGCATTTGTGACTACACCCAACCAAAAATACTCTCTTTGAAAAGAATATGCTGAACTATGTAGTGTCTTGACTTTGGGGTTCTGTCTCAAGGCACATAGAAAATTTCACATTTATGCTTCTGTTATCCACAGCAACATTTATGCACTCCCCTGTTGCCTGTCTGGAACTCAATCTCTTTAAGGAGTACAAATTCCACCCCCACAGCTCTCCTCAGAACGGAAGAATTTCAAACACAGGCCAACAGCAATCAATTCTAGGCATTTGGTTCAGCTATCACCAATATGCTTCCCCAAAAGGGGCCCAACAGTACAAAGCAGCAAATCTGGTCTCCCAAATGCACTGCTGGCTCTCTTTGAGTTGAAGGACTTGAAGTGAAAGGAGGAGCCTCTGCCCTGTGTAAAACCAGCATCAATGAGGGAATGGGGGGGGGGGGTGTGAAATCCTGCAAGTTTCTCATTCAAGAGCAAGCCACTGCATTTTCAGTGAGCTGTCTTGCCAATAATCTTCCCCAGGTGACTCTTCAGAACAAATAATGCACAGATCAATGGGGTGGCTGGACCTAAGGGTCCTCCTCAGTCAGTACTGAAAAGAGGAACCTGCAAAGGGCTACCATGGGAACCAGGTAATAGCACTATCTGTGACTCACCACAGAGCACAAAGAATGGTGGTATCTCAGATTCATCCGCCTGTCAAAGGTCCCATGAACAAATGCTCCATTTAAAAAGCACACAGCCTCCAACAGAGGCAGAAGATTGCCATGTGCTGGTGATTAGGCTTTTAGAGAATAATGGAGGAAATGTGTTACACACTGAAGAATAAAACCTTTACTGAGGGAACCCATCAAACCTGTACCTAATGGTAAGGCAAAGGATGTGTGTGAAATTTACACCTGGACATACTGAAAGTAAATTCTCAGGCCAGGAGAACTTGGTGGCATTAACCCTAATTTGTGCTGGTTGCCTAACACAACCGTATAAAAGAAGCAACCAGAGAGGCTGGAGAGATGGCTCAGGGGTTAAGAGCACTGACTTCTTTCAGAGGTTCTGAGTTCAATTCCCAGCAACCACATGGTGGCTCACAACCATCTGTAATGTGATCTGGTGCCCTCTTCTGGCACACACTGTATACATGATAAATAAATAAATAAATAAATAGATAAATAAATAAATAAATAAATCTTTAGAAGAAGAAGAAGAAGAAGAAGAAGAAGAAGAAGAAGAAGAAGAAGAAGAAGAAGAAGAAGAAGAAGAAGAAGCAACCAGAGAAGGGGAAAGAGGGCTACAAGACTGTCACCAACTGTTAATCTATGGACTGAATGAAACATGGCACAAACAGACTGAAACCATGTCATTGAGGAGCAGGTCAGAGCCATGTCTACTGATACAGACAACCATACAGATCAAAATGCAAACTACAATTATATACGTCTTGTTTTAATGTTTTTCTATTCCTATTTGGAGAGGGCAAGAAAAATACACAGGGAGATCATAAGCCAAACTGCTAACAGTAGCAGGAGCAGGTCTTAGTATTCCTTCCATTTCATGGAACTAAAATGTGGTGACTGTGAGCCAAGTGCTAAGATTCTCTAAACTCTCCCCAACTAGATGCGCACGCACACATGTGCACACGAAGGCCTCCACAGAATGACCTTATCAAGCAGGTACCCCACTGGGCAGACGAGTCTCTTCTATACCTCCTTCTGCCCTGTCCTAACATCTCCACTGTCAAGCTCTTTCTCCAGATGCCACTCAATGCTGCTAGGACAAGATGGTGTTCACTGAAGGTGACCCACAGAAAAAGTCTCCGGCTGCTGAGGAAGAATCTGGGAGTAGGCCTGTGCCAACAAGTACCTTAGTCCCCTTCCCACCCTTCACAGCCCAGAGCTGGGGTGTACTTTGGCAACATTATTTTTTAAATATCTTTCAGAAAGTTGTCACCAAGTCAGCAAGATGGCTTAGTGGTAGAGGTGCTCACAAGGCCTGACCACCTGAATTCCACCCCTAGATCCTGTAAGGTAACAGGAGAGAATCAGCTCACACTAGTGTTCTCTGACCTAACAATTTTAAGCTGTCTAATCATCTAATTCTCTGCCTTGGTGTACAAAATATAACAAAGATTCCTCTCACTTCTACCACAGAAGCCACCTTCAACGCAGTATCAGATCTAAACTATCCTTTTAAAAGTCTTTCAAGGCCCAAGTTAAGGAAAATCTCATTCCATGCCTTTTAAGCTTATAAACTAAGTACTAAAATACAGCACAGACAGCACATACCAATACATCCTTTCAAAGGGCAACAAAAAACTAGAAGGAAATAGCCTGTGATGAGAGTTCTATGACCTTTAAAACTTACAAATCCATGGTTACTACAGAGCATCACTCAAGCCTGACAAGAGACATCCATGTCCACGGGTAAGGCCCTCCCACCCCATCATGCTTACCTTCCTCCCCTGTGTCCGGCCCCACTGGAGCAGCATCATCTTCAAAGCCTCCTGTACCTGTCCCTATAGACGGGGACTGGCTATGCTGCTGACTCAGCTTGTTTCGGAGAAGAGCAATCTCTTTTTTGAGCAGCTTTGCCCGTTTACTCCGTGAGCCGCTAGACTTCATGGAGCAGGTGAGGTCCAACTTGTCCAGTAGCTCTCTCAGCTGCTCCTCCAAGCCCATGTGGGCCCTGTTGGCTGGGTCCAGCAACCTGTCCACTGAACCAAAGAACATGCATCATCAGTCACCTGATCCTTGGGCATTGCTAAGAAAAACACATTGGTCCCAACTACCCTTTAGCCTGCCCACAGCCAAAGCTCCAGCTTCACCATTTGATGTCATACACAGATTCCTCTACCCCAATTCTGAACCAATGAGAAAACTGTTGCCACAAGGAGGAAAAAAAGAGACTCCTAAAAGAGAATTTCTCCTCCAGTCAGGTAGGTCACAAAGGAATAGGGTAGCCAGAGCAAAGACATACACAGGTAACATATGTGGCCTCTTCTGCAACAGAACCCAACTCGGGCCTGCTGGGTAGGCAGCCCATTCCAAATGAGGGGTACAAAGGCCACCTGAAATGCATGACACTCACCAACACACAAACAAGATGGACTGCCAACAGAAGTGACAGCATGCAAGTATGCTGATGTGGACTGTGAATGTCATCCTCATGTACTTCATGTGCTGAAGCACCTGCACACTGTCCATGGAATCTAGGCTGCAGAGTCCACAGGTCTTCCCAAATTCTAGGCACACTGACTACTGAAGTCCTCAAAACTTAACTAGTGAAATGACCAAACAAATCTTTTAAACTTTGAGAAGATAAAACCAGAAGAAGAACAGGGATAAAGGAGATCTATCTACCCAGACCTGGTAGTTGGCCCAGAAACCCAAGTCCAGCTGGAGTGCCCTGTCTACAAGACCACTGATTAGCACTGGGACATGAACAAAAATCCTCTAATGGGCTGACTCAAGGCTTGCAGTCACACTATTTCTAACAAAATCTCAAGTGCACTAGGTAAACAAAATTCTTTTAATTTGAAGCACCAAAAATAAATAAAAAACATAGCCAACAAAATAACACCCCAGTTTTTCATGGCTCATTTCTTTCCTGTTCTTTGGTTATTAAGACAGGGTTTCCATATGTAGCCCACTCTGTCCTCAAACTTGCATTCTCCTTCCTCAACCTCCTAAGTGCTAGAATTTCGGTCAGGAACTACCATGACCTGCTTGTCTGTTTCTTTTTCAATAGGACCAGTATCTTCATTATAGTAGGGCTCTGGACAGTGACAGATATCCAGAGCTGGCCTTGCCACCATCACCCTTCTCTCTACTCCAATCACTGAAAAATAAATTTGTACTTTTTATTATTGCTTTCCTCTTTGACAACAAGACTGGCACAGAAATTTATTTTTCAATGGCAGAGTCAGTTTCCTCAAAGTATCAACTTTGAGACCTCCAAGCAAGCCCTGCCCATCTACAGAACATTAGAATCAGAAGCAGTGGGGTCAAAGGCTCCCAGATTCACTGGGCTCCTCTGCTTCTAAGGACCGCCAACACCACCCAGAGCACAGTCACAACAGACCAGGGTCCACAACAGACAGAGGAGGCTGGATCACTACTCTTGCCTCCCACACAGCCCAGAGAACAGAACATGGATGTATGTGAAGGACTAAGTGTCACTCTATAATCCTGCTGGCTATCACACTCAGCTCCAACAGAACTGCTGGGGAACATCTAGCACAGATGGTTCCTATCTAACCATTCTGGACCTATCTAGGCCGCAGAGATCTGTTACCTCTGTATGTACGTGAGTGCATGTCTATTTTTTCAAGACAAAGCCTCACGTAACCCAGGAACTATAAAGCCAAGATGACCTTGAAATTCTAACCCTTGCACCACCATGCCCAGTTTGTCCAGTGTGAGATCGAACCCAAGGCTTTATGCATGCTAGAGAAGCACTACTAAACCACACACTCCAGCCTGCTTGTATTTATTTTTTAATTATACTTTTTGGCCCTATTTTGTTTTAGGATGTAACTCACACTAGCCTGGAAATCACTGCAATCCAGACTGATCTTGAACTTAGCTTAGCTTCCTGAGTGATGTGACTACAGATGTATGCCACCAAATCTCCTGTATGCCCTGTGGATGCCTGAGTACTGAACAAATAGTCTCTCTGGACCAGACACATAAGAAGTCAGAAGTCAGGGGCATCCAAGGGCCCAATGGAAAGGCAAAAGCAGGACACAGTAACCAGCTGGTTGTGAAGAAAGAAAAGTACAGGGTAAACAAAGTAACCACAGTCCCAATATTTTCCTGGACAGTGAATAGCAGAAGAAAAAGGGGGACCTAAATGGGAACACAGAGCCTATTTTGAATATAGGAAAACTTCATGTTCCAGGGTGGACCACCAACCCATGTGGATACTCACCTACGAATAAACAATTAATGGGAAAGAAGTTTACAAGAATTGATTGGAGGCTAGATGTGGTGGTACATATCTTTAAAATCCGGCACTCAGGAGACAGAAGCTGGTAATTACTGTCTGTTCCAAGCCAGCCTGATCCACATATTGAGCTCCTGGCCAGCTAAGGGTACCCAGAGAGAGACCTTGTCTCAGGGGGACAAAAAAAAAAAAAAAAAAAAAAAAAACCCTGCTTGGAGGAAGTTCATGAGCAACACAACAGCATGTGCCTGTTGAGGCCCAAAGTACAAGCTCACCCTGGCGTCCTGGAAAGTAAGTACTGAAGACAGGCTAAGGCCGGGCCCTCTATGAACACCCACATATATCCAAGAAAGAGGGTGAGAGGCAAAGCCAATGTCAGCTCCTGCGTCTATTTGTCAGCTAAAATAAAACCACCAATATCTGCCTTCTCACTGCAAGACCCTTTGGGTACAAATCCTCAGCTATACTGTCTTCTTGGCCTGCACATCTGCATCTGGGCTCAACTAGACATCTGTTTCTTGCAATGGGTTATGTGAAATATGGCAAGGCCCAAATGAGACAGGAAATAAAAGAACACCTTCAGTGGCGTTTATGCTGGCTGCATGCTGAAAACATAACTCTGTACAGTCTGAGGAAAAAGGCACATGCCATCTTCCTGGATGCAGTGCTGGGTTCTTACCTTCTTCCCAGGAGAAAGGCCGCCGAGGGGCTGCAACAGGTCGCTCAGGCAGGTGCATTCCCGAGGCCTCTTCCAAGCCGATGTTGTCCACCTCACGCCGGGCCTGCCTCAAAACAACACCTCCCTGATCCCGCAGCCTCACTGCAGCTCTATAAAACACGGTGTCCTTGGCATTGTACTTCATGCAGTTATCTACAATGAGATTAAAATCCTCCTCAAACGCATGGAGGTTTTTATACCCTTGAGCTTCTAGCCTTTTCCTCATTGTGGCAAAGTCCATGGGATGTTTAATGTGATCCAAATAATCTGGTACCTAATTTTAGAGAGGAAAATAAACACTTACAAACCAAAGAAAAATCAAAACATACTTCATGCCATCTATATAACCAATAACACCTAATACATACAGCCCCCATCACAGACTAATTTCACATAGTAACACTAAGCCAATCCAAACTAAGTCCATCTTTTCAGGGACCTTCCCAATCTAGTTCCTTTAACTACAAGTACATCAAGTGGGGTAACAGCAGAGCTAACATCATCAACAGCTATGTTCTGAATAGAGCTTTTCACCTAGGCACTTTCAATGCTTTATAAGGAAACACAATCTTTTACAATTAAAATATTATTCATTAAGCATTCATTAAATATTAAATAATGTATTCAATAAATCATAGTGAGGACTAAGAATTCAAGTAACCTCTCTCACAATTACATGTTTACTAATCCAACAGCAGATCCAGAGTCACACATGAGGCACTACAGTGACCCATAGCAATACGCACCTCCTTTAGACTCACGGGCTGAGCAAAAATTTTTGCAGGGTCCTTCTCCTGAAGCTGTTCCAGGACCGAGCGTAGCAGCACAGTCAGTGGTGTCAATCGGAGCTCCATAGCCATCTGCTCCACCTTCACCTGGCAACAACAGCACACACTGTCTCTAAAGGATTGTGGGTATACCTTTCTTGGAGATCATGGCACCTCACATATTACACAGTCACAGCAGCAACACCGCAGCCATCAACACAGAGCAGCCTACATGCATGTCACCACCCTACAACAAAGCAACTGTCTCTGTGCAAGGACATGTGCACAGAGGTTTCCTTTAGGGCCCTTGGCAAAATTTAGGGTATGGCCACCCAAAACTGGTACCACAAAGGCACCATGGGACCAACTATAGGGTAGGGACATGCTGTGGGGTGGGAATGGCAATACAAAGTCAGCAGGCACACAGGGCTACTCCAGAGCATCTCCCATAACATTCCATGACAGCAGCAAGAGGTCCATCCAAAGCAGGCCTGGAGGCTGGCAGAACCCAAGGGCCTTACCTGCTCACGTTTGAGTTTTTCCCGCTTGCGCAGCAGCTCAATTAGCAGGCGTGCACGTTCCAGGTCGTGTCGCAGCCGCTGCCAGTACTTCAGCTTCTCTTTGGCAGCTTTCATCTCTTCGTCATTTTCTCTCTAAGATTAAATGAAACTTCCCATCAGTCAAACCTAAAGGTTCTTCCTGCCAGGAGTCTAAAAATCTCATACAGATGAGACTAAAAAGGTTACCTGGGACCCATTATCGTTCAAGAGTCCCTTTGAATGTGTTGTCACTAAGGGACAGAAGGATCCAGTAGGGTCCATGGTACTAGGGGTTTTTGGCTTGATCTTCAGGTGGGTGGGAGGGTTAGAGGGGGTACGAGAAAGAAGGTATACTAGAATGAAAGGCTAAGCTATCCTGACCGGCAATGGAATATTACACAGACTCAGTTCTGGGCTCAGCAGGTAAGATGCAGGGATCACTTCTAACCCCTTAGAGACAAGGGTGGGCACTGCAGTCACCAGGCACACCTATGTCTTCTCAGGTGACAAGAACAGTATACCAAGACAGCACATGTCCTAACCTTAGCCTAACCTAGTCAGCAGTCAGCACCAGCCCCTCTCTACCCAAGTCATCAAAACTGAAATGCAACACTAGAAAGCCATGGGACACAGTGGTAGGAAAGCAGTCTGGCTCTGCCTGGACCCGTAGAACATGGAGATCAATACTAGAGCTGTTCATATCTCTGAACAGGGTAAGAAGCCAAAACCACTCACAATAATAATTCAGGGCCTAGTAGAGTCCCTCAAGGCCAAAGAATGTACAAAGGGTACCCTCATTACCTCACAAAGGTAAAGAACAAGAGCCACTGCCACACAGATAGCACACATCCCTCCATAGCAATCAAGGAACCCCAAACAAGACCAGAACCCTATTTACAAAGGGCCAGGTTTTCCAGCCACATACTCTCAGTATTCCATGCATCCTATTCAACCAAGATCCCCAGAGCTCTGCTCCCCAATCCAGATCTCATTTTCAGGCGAACTCACACTCCCCTTTCTGCCACCTCAGAATGAGCCTGTCGAAGACGCCCCCCTCCTCATGCAACACAAAGAGGTCTTTGTTTTTTGTTGTTGTTGTTGGTTTGTTTTTTTTTTTTTTTTTTGGTTTTTTCGAGACAGGGTTTCTCTGTGGCTTTGGAGGCTGTCCTGGAACTAGCTCTTGTAGACCAGGTTGGTCTCGAACTACAGAGATCCGCCTGCCTCTGCCTCTCGAGTGCTGGGATTAAAGGCGTCACAACAGAGGTCTTTATCCAAAATTAATACCTACTCCCTGCTCTATGGAGAATGTATGGGACTACCTCCTTCACAGTAACCCACATGCCCTGTCCTTATGTCCTTATGACAAATGGGTGGAGAATGGCCTACTCCAGAAGTCTGTCCTTCTGCACTGCTGCTGGACAGCAACTCAGAAGTACCCACATCTGCCAACCACAAACAAAGTGACACCATCCAGCTGCAGAGTACAGGCCACAGACATGAGACCTTTCTCTTTCTAGATGGCTTGGCTTCTCATGGTCCATACTCAGAGGGTACCACAACAGACTCTCTAACCCAGGCTACCAGCCCACTGGTCAAGGATGTAGGGTATCCACTCTTCATGGTATAAAAACAATGGCACAGGATGGGAGGGGGTATGACCTATCTCCATCCACAAACTTCCGCGACCCTACATAGCAGTGCAGAACTGCAAGGTATAACAGGTATTACTGAAAATTCTTAAGCATTTAGTTGAGGTTGATGACAGTATCATTCATGCATACACAAAGTTGGTAAATACACAGAAAGGTGAATTTAGAAACCAAATGCTGCCAAGTGTAACAGTGCATACCTTTAATTTCAACTCTCAGGAGGCAGAAGCAGGCAAAGGCAGAGAGAGCTCTGTGAGTCCCCAAAAGAAATGAAACCAAATATCCTCACAACATCCAGACAACTTCCTGCCCACTAGTTGGAAACAGACTTTAAGTAACCAAAAGGACATTTGGCCTGGCAACCCCTGTGAAGCAAAGAAAATCTCCAGATTACTAATAGCCCTATGCTTGTGTATTTAGGGACAAGCAAAATGCACTGTTTTTTTTTTCATGGCCTGGTTGTAATCTTTAAAAGTCACGTGATAACTGAGCCACTGCCGGGTTCATGAAGAAAGGAAACCACATACACATCACCTCACCTAAAAAAAAAAATCCCAGCTTGCTTGGTGCTGCTCTGAAGCAGTCTACTTTTCTACATAGAAGTAATGCTGGAAATCTTCACTGGAGGATAGAAGTACCCGATAGTGGTTTCCGAGATCCAGGTCCTGGCACGATGACGGAAGATGGCCAGACCCAACCCCGTAACAAGGACCAGTTCAGCAGTCAGGCCAACACCCCCTATACTGGGGAGACAGGTCAGCTCATCTGTGAAGCAGAGACCAGTTCAGCAGCAAGGGCTCCCTCCCATATGCTACAACCATGACCCCCAGGGCAGCTAGGCTCAGCCATGTCAGACTCCCAGACCTACAAGATGCTATGAGCAGTAGGGTAGAAGTACAGAGGCCCCAAGGAGTTAGTGGGGCAGGAAAAGAAGAACCAAAAAAAGAAAGGAAAACAAAACAAAACAGAATGAATAGGGACTCGCACATAGCAAACTGTTTGACCAAAATCTAAAGAGCCACCCTAACCCACCTCCTACCATAGCACCACCTCAGCAGACAGCACAAGACAAAGTGCCTGCCTTTTCTGCCAGACCAGGGCCTGTAGCATATAGCTAAGAAAGCCTCCCTAATCACAATATTGATAGAATCAGATAGAAACACCAACCTCAGTGATGTCCTCTCTCAGAGCAGCTCATCCTGTTCCACTGTCCCTCAGCCCCATCCCCCACAAGGTCAGCCAAGATGGAGAAGTCCAAGTCTTCTCCCAAAGCCTGCTGAGCACAGACAACCAAAGCCAGTGGAAAATCAAATTCCAACATCATGTATTTCTAGTTTAAAAACTCAACAGAGGCTGAGATGGCACATGTGTTTTGCTCCAATGACAAGGTTTAGAGCCATTAAAATTAAATAAACAAACAAATGAATGAAGAGCTGCGCCAAGCCTTATTGTCACTAGGAAAATGTGAGTACAGTTTACAGCCTTCAGACTCATGGCCCGTCTGGTCCAACACTGCACAGCATACCCCTCTGCCATGGGCAATGCCTTCTACTTCCCTTTTTGGTGATTCTAGAATGCCCTAACCAAGAGACGTCACTAGGCTTGTATCCTCAAATTCTGTCTGCTCCCCCACTCTGATGGCCTCAATGTCCTCTACAAAAAGAGACAGCTGGCAGCAAATACTCTTCCTCTAAAAGGATGGGTCTAAATGAGTACAGCACTGGACAGCTTCTCCAGAGTACATCGTATGACCCTGTGGAGGCTGTGCTTGCCACCTTGTCTTTTCACCCTCCTTCCTATACCCTTTTTTCCTCCTGGCTCCATCTCTCTAGACAAGCTGCCCACGGGCCTTTTTGCATCCCATGTCCTTCATTCTAAGCTCCTAAGCAAAAGAGAAGAAGCCAACAGCTGAATGTCCCACCATTGTACTGATGGCATTCCATTCTTACTGACAATCTACCAAAAGCATCCCTCCTCTGTGGTCCATGCTCAGCTTATTTAAAAAATGTCCTCGAGCCCAAGACAAGACATGAGGTCTGGATTCGCCACATCTTACTTCCAAGACTGCTACCATCAAATAAGCAAAGACCAAAAAAGCAGTGTTCCTACCAGTGTCCAGTTTTCACAAACACGTCCCCACTTCATGACTAATATCTCTTAGACCCTCTTCCCCTAAGACCTTCTTCTCCTCTGGTACCTAGGACAAGCATGCTGGGAACCCCCAATGGGGCTATGATCTGAGAGTGAAGGGTGGTAGAGAGAACAGTAGCATCTCAACAGGAGAGGTAAAGAACATGGTTGATGCCGGGTGTTGGTGGCACTCGGAGGCAGAGGCAGGAGGATCTCTGTGAGTTCAAGGCCAGCCTGGTCTCCAGAGCAAATGCCAGGATAGGCTCCAAAGCTACACAGAGAAACCCTGTCTCGGAAAAAAAAAATTGGGGGGGGGCAAGAGAGATGGCTCAGAGGTTAAGAGCACTGACTGCTCTTCCAGAGGTCCTGAGTTCAATTCCCAGCAACCACATGGTGGCTCACAACCATCCATTATGAGATCTGGTGCCCTCTTCTGGTGTGCAGATATACATGGAAGCAGAATGTTGTATACATAATAAATAAATAAAATCTTTAAAAAAAAAAAAAAAAAGAACATGGTTGATTCACTTCAACAACCATCTCAATGTGCTCAAAGCCTGGAGATTCGATGATAGTCCTCAGATGGGGCTGCTTCACAAATCCAGTGGCTGCCAAGGAGGCATATGCCCCAATGAATAGATGCAGTTGGCCAACAGAATGCAGTAGAGAAGAACTGACACATGAGAGGCCTAGACTGCCCCTTCCACTCAGATCAGACTCACAGTTGCCCAAGTTCTTGGATTCCAAAGAGTGACACTGCAGGGTTCTAGTACCACAGTTCATCTGTCAGCCCTGGTACAGGTGAGAGCCCTGAGCTTACTCCACAGCCATGTCTGTGACAGCCATGGGTACTCAACAGGATTCTATAGACTTATGATTCCATTAAAGCTGGCTGATATTTTACAGATTTAATGATTAGCTCCTCCCACTGGAACCAGTGGAGGCCACCAGACAAGCATGTTTGGGCAATGTGCAGAGGAACGGTATGTGTAACATCCCACAGAAGATACTTCTTTCCTCTTTAAGATAGCCTCTTATATAACATAGTTTGTTTAAATTTGTTCTTTTAAATTAAAAGTCACTTCCTCAGGGGTTGGAGAGATGGCTCAGTGGTTAAGAGTACTGACTGATGCTCTTCCAGAGGACCTGCATTCAATTCCCAGCACCCACATGGTGGCTCACAACTGTCTGTAACTCCAGTTCCAAAGAATCTGGCTCCCTCACATAGACATACATGTAAACAAAACACCAATGCACATAAAAAATAAAAGAAAATAAAAGTCACCTCCTCAACTTCTTTCCTCCTATGGGTCAATGTTAAACCAACCATTTTAGAGCAAGGCCTGAAAATAAATTACTCCTCATGCAATATACTCAAGACCCAGAACAAAGACCCCACCCATCAGATCCAGGCTGTCATCAAACCTCCCTCCCTGTCTAGAATATCCATGTGGCCAAAGTTGTACCAGCTTCTCAGACCATTCCCTTCTTTCCCTGGAACCGGACACAGAGCAGACACCCATCAGTGTGTACAGAGTAGGAAAGGAAGCACAACTCAACAGTGAGGTCACACCACCCCTTGAGGATACTTGAGCTACTTGTACACTCTGCAGCTTAGTTTAGTAGCTCAAAGCCCAGGGGTCAAGGGTCAGCACCACATCCAACCTGAGGGGACAGTGCCTGATCAGTGTGTTAGGAGGCAAGTGACACTGAAAACGTGGATGAGGGCAATGTGCACATACCTGCTGCGTGTTTCTCTGGGACTGCAGGCTGGACTGGAGCCGCCGCAGCAGGGGAGCACCATTCCTAGACAGCCTTTTGAGTAACCAGTAGCTGTGGGCCCGCTCCACAAACTGCTTCTTCCGCTGAATGGCCACCTGATTCGCAATCCTATTTAATCTAAAACATGGAAAAACTCAGAGTTTAGCTTGGAAAAAGAATATTCGAAAGCGTTTGCATTTAATAAACTAGACAGGTCAACGTTACCTTCAGTAACACTGCAAGTCTCTCCCTAAGCCAGGACACACAGTTATGTATGGTCTCTGGTACTATAAAAACAGTTAATAACCTTGAGCTATCTGGAGATTTCATCCACCAAAACAGTCATCGGGTTAACTGTCTAAAAAGAAACACAGCTGAACAAAACTTTCAAGACCATGATCCTGTGTGGTGTCCTATCTACACACAGACAGACCAGTGTTGATCACTGTCAGATGAGATGCTGATGGCTTGCTCTCACAGGTGGCACTACTGGCCCTGGTCCCACTCAACCCTGAAGAGAGAACAACCTGAAGCAGAGTAACCCACCAGCTCAGGCTGAAAACACAGTCTGCTCTTAATAAATGACAACCATCTTCTGAGACACTTCATCCTTTGGTGTACTAGAAATGCAAAGCTGAAGAAAAAAAAAAAAGCCCTCTACAGCAGGGGGGCTAAACCAGCCTTTGAAGGCTGGACAGAGAGCTTCTCCACTCCTTTTCACCATTACTACCTTAGAAGATCTCAGTGTGCCTCCCAAATTTTAACAGTACAAAACTACAAAAGGCTACAAGGTATCTCTTCACTGTACATTACACATCAAAACTTCAGAACCAACATTAAAAATTTCTAAGTTCACTTTTTTTTTTTTTTAAGAATTAAATATAAGTTTTAGTGAACAATCAAGGACCACCACCACCACCAGGTGGAAAACTAGCTCTGCAAGGCTGGCTTGCTCTTGAGAATGCTGCACATCTTGAGAATGCCATCAGTCTTTGACAGAGCCCTGCTAGATGCAGTGCCCTCTGTGGATCTGCTTGTTCAGTATGGATGGGTCTGGCACCAAGGCCATAAAGCATATCTCCAATGACAAATCTACCAAAAGACACTCAGATGAAGACAAGAAAGCAGACTATAACAGAAAGCAAGTGAGAGACACCTGAGGATGTAATGTACCAAAGTCCCACAAGAAACTATGTCCACAGTTCTGGCAGGCTGCTTTTCTGGATATAGCTTTTGTTTTCACCACTTCTAACTGAAGAGCAACATTTGTATAATAAACTATATAAATTCCAACAACATGTAAAGGACAGAGGCTTTAACATGGAAACAGATGTTTAATACTACTTAAGGTTATTATACAAAGTTTGGAGGTTTTGGGGGGGATTTTTGGGGTTTGTTTTGTTTTGTTTTTTGGCTTTGGAATTTTTGTTTTGTTTTTCAAAATAGTATTTCTCTGTGTAGTCCTAGCTGTCCTGTAACTCCAAGCTGGTTTCAAAGTCACAGAGATCTGCCTGCCTCTGCATACCATGTGCTGGGATTAGAAGTGTGTACCACCAACAGCCCAATTCTGACACATGATTTTAACAATTTGAAATCCCAAAGAAATGTTGGTTAGTAATTTGCTTTTATAAAGATTCCAATCTCATTTTTTTCAAAGCCACCCTTTCTCTAGTGCAAGAGCTTGAAAGCTATAAACAAGACTGTTTACATATACATAAAAATATATTTAAAATGTATCCAAACACCATATGCAGAGCCTGACTTACCTCTGGTGAGCAACCATGTGTCTTGGAGAAAGAGATGGACAACAGGCACAATAATGTAAGCCCCCAGAAGCAGACCAGCCAAAAGCAAGCATGTCTACTACTTCATCTGACACTCATTAAGCGCCCAGGCCAACTACTAATTCAAAGAAAGCACATGGAAGAAGAACAGGCCAAGTCACAACAATGACCACAACACAAGCCAGGCATGAGACCCACAGCACACAAGAGCCTGGAAGTAGACATGACCAAAATGGACCCCTAGAAGGAAAGAAAGATGCTACTCCAGTCTGTGTAGAATTTGTCCCAGACTGCCGGTGTGATATCAGTACCCAATAGGAAGACCAAACCTGGCCACTCGCTGTGCTCTGGCTTCCTATTTTACCACATCATTTCTATTTCCCACACATGTTCCTGCCATGACATTGCTCTGATGTGATTCAGCCAGAGAATAAATTGATGTGATGCCCATTTTTTTTTGGGGGGGGGGTCGAGACAGGGTTTCTCTGTATTGCTCTGTAGACCAGGCTAGCCTCGAACTCACAGAGATCCACCTGCCTCTGCCTCCTGAGCGCTGGGAATAAAAGCATGAACCACCAACGCCTGGCTCAAAAATTTTTCTTTATAAAAGTACCCAGCCTTGTCTAGTTTTTGTGACTAAAACTGATACAGGTATTATATCAAAGGCATAAGTAAAGCAGGATTATCTACAGGAAAAGTTCCCCACAAAGTCAGAAAGCACTTAGTCCCTGGTGATGGAAAGGGACTGTGCAGGGGGCTGCAATAAGCAAAGCTTCATGTGACACAAGGCAGTTACAAGAGTGTTTACTCCACAGTAACTATTAACCACACATTTGTTTTGTCAACTTTTTTATATTGTATTCTATTTATAATTTCTTAATGTTGACAAGAATACAATCAAAGAGTTTCTCAAGCCTTCCTGAATACAGCTAATAAACAAAGAACAAAAATGAAATGCAAGAGAAAAACTAAGTAGACCATTTTGACTCACATACCCTAACCTTTGGAGGCCTAGGTTTTGCCCATTTTTAGCTAGAAAAATTCTAGGCCTACAGTGAAGTCAGCTGATTACAAACAGCTTGTGATGGGGGAGGTCCTTCTGTGTATATGTTTGTCTTATTGGTTGATAAATAAAGCACTGTTGGCCAACAGGGAAGCAAGTTAGGCGGGACTAGGAGAGAAGGAGGACTCTGGGAAATGTAGTAAAGAGAAAGTCACCATGTGATCCTGGGAAGAGAGGACGAATGCCGCTGGCATCCTCGATGAGTCTCTATAAAATATAGATTAATTGTTTTGGTTGATACTTAAGACAGAACCAACAAATAAGAAATCCTAGCCATTGGCCAGCAGCATTGTAACTAATACTAATCTCTGTATTTAGGGGGCCTAATATGGCCTTGGAACTCAGGCAGCTGGTGGAAAGAGTTATGGTTACAAGCTTGGGACTTCTTACCAAACTGTTTTTATACAGTCTATGTAGAGATGTGGCCAGGATTTCTAACACCTTACTCAATAAAAGCAAAAACCAGGAAGCAAGCAGGGCATAGTAGCCACACCTGTCATCCCAGCACTCAGGAGGCAGAAACAGGCAGATCTCTCTCTGAGTCCTAGGCTAGCCTGGTCTACAGTGAGTTCCAGGACAGCTGGGGATACATAATGAAACAGTTTTAGTTTGGTTTCATTTTTTGTTTTGTTTTGTTTTTCGAGACAGGGTTTCTCTGTGTAGCTTTGGAGCCTATCCTGGCACTCGCTCTAGAGACCAGGCTGGCCTCGAACTCACAGAGATCCGCCTGCCTCTGCCTTTGCCTCCTGAGTGCTGGGATTAAAGGTATGTGCCACCAAGATCACAAAAGCCCACCCAAACTATCATTTTCAGACATTGTTCATGAAGAGAATCTTAAGGTTTACAATCTATCAATATAAAAACAAAAATCCTGTATCTTGCAAAGTCACGAAATGCTAATGTTATTTTTGGCTTTTTTGGGAGGGGGTTGTTTTGAGACAGGGCCTCACTGGCCCTTCTCATATTAGCCAGGTGTGGACTGGGGAAGCAGAGACAGGGCAATGGTTTACATAGTGAGTCCCAGGACAGCCAAAGCTACGTACAGACCCTGTCTCAAAACATAACAAAACAACGGGCTAGAGAGATGGCTCAATGGTTAAGAGTGCTGGTTGCTCATCCAAAGGACCTGGGTTCAATTCCCAGCACCTACATGGCAGCTCAAAGCTGTCTTAACTCCAGTTCAGGGATTCCCAAATCCTCACACAGACATACATGCAGAAAAAAAACATCAATATACATAAAATAAAATTTAAAGCAAAGAACAAGAACAAAAAAAAAAAAAACCCTACAAGAGCAGTGTTCTATTCTTACACGACAGTGCTATCATGGGGACAGTCAGCAGAAAGCCCCAGATGTTATGAACTACCACCCTACTACACTCAACAAAGCTGTGGAGGGGGCTGAAGAGATGTCTCAATGGTTAAGAGCATTGCCTTCGCTTCCAAAGGTCCTGAGTTCAATTCCCAGCAACCACATGGTGGCTCACAACCATCTGTAATGAAATCTGGTGCCCTCTTCTGGCCTGCAGACATACATGCAGGCCGAATACTGTATACATAATAAATAAATACATCTTAAAAAAAAAAAAAAAAAAAAAAAAAAACAAGCAGGCACTTAGCTCCCTCCCATCACCTCAACAAACAACTCTAGGCCCCCAAGGCTCCTGCAGGAAAAAAGAACTCTCTGACCTCCAGGATTGGCCGATTTTCTCAAGACTAACCCAAAAGGCAGAGTCCATACAGAAAAGGACTGGCCCACAGGCCAACACTCACTCACTTCATCAAAAACTATAAATCTCCAGTTATGAGAAGAATCTTTATACACTGTAGGGTCATGGGCAGAGTCACATGGCTGGAACTTGTTTCTAACAAGGAAAAGAGAGGTACAAGCAAGGGAGGACTAGCCAGTCACAGGAACTTTTGAAGTTAAGTTGCCGAACAAATGGATTCTCTGTACTTTTTACAGTTTGTTTTGAGGGGGTTAAATCATAGCTATTACTAAAAATGAGAAGACAGGCCTTGCCCAAAGAGTGGGAAACACTGACTAGTTAGAACTCAATGGCCCAGTGCAGGGAGGCAAGAAGGGGGGTGGGGCAGCAACTTCAAGAGATAACACATATGTAAACCCCACTGAGAGGCGTGTCAGATAGGTAACCTGACTATATCCACCCATACTGTAACAACTTCGGCCACATACATACACCCCCAAAGTCATATCAAGACAACTCCTTCAAAGGTTCAATGCCATACAGTCCCTCATCATCAAGGAATGGTCTCCTTCTTCCTGCTGCA